CCACTGTGCGAACGTCGGTACCATGTGATTAAAGTTTTCCAAAATGATTTTCGAATAAGTCAAAATTCTTGCGGACTTCTCTCGTCTTAGCAAGTTTACATTAAGCACGCCAGATGTCACATGCATTCAGATGGACAAATATGTGGTTCCGCGCTCATCTGTTAGATGTCAGGAGGAACAAATCTGTAAATGGGATAGACCACTGCATTTCGTTTTGTTAATATAAACAACCAAACCCATACTTTGCCCAAGTCCATCACTGTCTTTGAGGAACCCTGGATGTAGTGGTTGAATCCTGCTTTGAATCAGCTAACTCGTGATCTTAATTCAACTGTTAATCAGACAGTCAATAAATTCAATTCGATGGTACCCGAAAGTGTGTTAACCAGCGTACCCTCAAAATTAAGATTACATTTTCATCTTCACAACCCATTTTTCTAAGGGGCATTTCCATATTATCACTACAGGTACACCCAGGTTACATATAGACGTCGCCACCATCAGAATTAAATTTAATTTTTTCTGCGTTGTAGGAACTGCGTTCTCGTACAATCAAGGGTGACAGACATTGCCTATTAATAAGGAGTAAATCCTAACAATTTTTCGTGACCAATGATAAATTATGAAGCTGCTAACTATGAAATGGGCCATTACTTAGCCCATCTTGGGTTGATATATTATTCGTAACGAATATTATATAGAGCTTTCAAGCTGCTATTACGTTACTTGTGTTCTAAGAATAAATGACCACAATATAAATGCATATTTTAAGACATTTTCGCCGCCACTAGCATAATATAACGTAGTAAAATCTCCGTTTACTATATAAATACTCATGGGAGCGTGGAACATGTGCACTGATGGAACGGACAAAGATGTCTATTTACCCCACAATATTTTTTTGGGCCCCATGTTAGTGCGCCGCTAGTATCACTCCCACCTCAATAATTCGCAAGGCAATTTTTATATAAACTTAAATATAATTTCTTAAATGCAACTTTTAGTCAGATGTTTATCAGATATCAAAATGATGTTTTCTTCCAGATTTTATTGTATTTTAATATTTTAATAATTTTTTAATTTTCATTCTAATTATCACGAATATATGTCATTTGGTTCAAAAGTGATTTGGAGGGAAGGGGGCAGAGACGTAAGTTAGATACCGTCTTCCTTTATCACATAAGATGAGACTAAAAGTGTAACTACAGAACAGCAGAACATTTTAGCAAATAACCAGAGTCCTCCGCATTATGGACGAAGTGTAATGCGTGCCGTCACACCTCTGCGCCACGAAACTTTGTTATTACGGTTAGAAACGACACTACAGTTCCAGTGCCCCGGCAGGATATACGATATTTTGTGTCGCTAGAATCAATAATTCGGGATACGTAATGTATGACGGCCGCGATGTTTTGTATTATTCCTGCAAACATGTAGTCTATTCAACTCAACACAAGCAGCTAAGTTGCCTTCACACAGGCGTGGAAATACGAACACTGAGGCAAGGAAGGAGGAACTGGAGGGGAGAGAAAACAAGACGCCCTTCGCTTCTAAAATGATACGCTGCGAAGCTGCCTACTAAACGTACAGCATTTTTAGGTTAGGTTCCTTCCCTGAGAACAAAAACAGTCTTATGCTGTCTCTCTTCTTTCAGTTTTCGATCCAGTTGACCGATTTTCACCAAACTTGACATGAACATTATGTAATACCAACGTTTCAGAGGTCCATTGACAGAATCTGCAGGTCTGTATCGATATAAATAGCTAATACGTTCTTTCCCAATAGGACTAACAATGTGGACATATGCCTATTTAGCTTACAAGAATGACAACAGTAACGTATTTCCGGTGTGTCTTGTTTGGTCGTTGGACTATTTTATGACCAAACCTTAAAATAACAGTTGAATGGCTCTGCAGTCGATAATATCTCCGTGCGCATGGTCGAGACAAAGCTGCGATTTCGTCTGTGGTGTTTTATCTTTGGCTGTATTTCGATGGCGGATCAGGTGGAACAACATGACGTCCGCCAGAAAATCTAGTGAGCTAGTGTGAGGTGGTGGCGGCAGTGTTTTTACGCCTGTGTGTTGTTTTGTTGCAGCGGAGGAATCTGATGGCGATTCTGGAGTATGTGGCACAATCCTCATGGGACTGTCCTGGGTTCTCATCATCTTTACCCTGCCGTTCTCACTCTGCGTGTGTTTCAAGGTAGGGTGGCATGTTGAGCTCTGACAAGTTGCCTGATATTTTGCATTAGCTGTAGATATTGAATTAGACTTGCCTGGGTCCTTGTGTGGCTTCAAAACTAAGATCCATCATGAAAAGAAAATTGATAAAATGAAGAATGTAAATGGAAGGATCAAATTATCAGTTTTAAGAACTTTAGACGAGTATAATTCATATAGAAATATGGGTTTATTTGTTCTATGTGGTGACATGAGGCCCTAATCTGAATCTCATGTTATATGAAAATACAGTACTGCCACTACGTACACTAGCTTGTGGAAATCATGTTTGTTGCAGGTGGTGCAGGAATATGAACGAGCTGTGATATTTCGTCTGGGTCGACTCATGTCTGGGGGTGCTAAGGGACCAGGTAAAGAAATCTCATTTTTGTCCAGCAATTTTAGCTGTTAACAATTTCGAATGCCATCTGTGATGGAGATCACACTTTTTGGAGCTGTAGACATTTAAGAGTGTGTGCATTTATTTAATATTTTACGAGGGTCTCTCCAAAAGTAATGCTCCACATTGTTTTAAGAAATCAATATTTATTTTATAGCTCTGCTATTGATACATTTCAAGGGTACATCCTTTAGGAAGAAAATCCTATTTTTCCACATAAATACCTCCACTCTAAACTGTTTTTGACGTGAAAACGTCTTTAAAATCGATGCCGGGTGTGGGGAGGCAATCGCGCCCAAATGAGCGACAGTTTCTGTCGAAGTAATTTCAAACTTCAATAACTCGGCTAAAAATAGACATAGCGCCGCCATCTTAGTCTCGTTTTAAAGAGGAAGGATG